GAGGAACTGGAAAAAATAAAATCCCACAATCTTCAAGTTTGGTCCCCGGTCTTCTCTTGCACAACAGACCACAATGCAGACCCCCCTCACCCCCCAAAAAAATCCCAGGAAGCCTTTGAGGACCCCAAATCGTTGAATACCAAAAAAAGAAATGAATGATTTCTGTTTTTCCGCATTTCCCCTTCTTTACGATTCCGAGGCTTGCGCAAGGCCTCCAAGGGAGTCCCCTGCACGCAAGAAGCGACCAACATGAGATTACCTGAATTAGCCGATCAAACCCAGCTAGAACTTGAGCGCGCGCGAAGCGCGCACGATGGTTCTAGTGTACACAAACACACACACATATATATATATATATATATATATATATATATATATATATGTAGATGTGTGCGTCGCAGTTCGTTACTCTGCCAGGCAATCCGGTCTTTTAGGGAAGCGCTGGGCGAGTGAGCGGGTGAGCGCGACAGAACTGAGGCGACAAACCTGAAATGTTCCCAGGAGACATCCCAATAATGTTAAATCCGAAACGGAGGAGAGGGGGATGGGTGGCGGGCCGAGAGAAAAACTTGAGCCCACATGATTACACACATCATTGGCACAAGCCCCGACACACGTGAACGCGACTGGAACGACGGCAACACACCTTCGGATTTTTGTCAACCGCGCCAAGGCCGGGCGGGATTCGCGAAAACCCGACGCTTTTTGCCAGCTGTACATTGCAGGCTATACCGTCCAAGAGGCTCTGCGATGGAGAATGTTGGCGTTCAATGTGCAGCAGCTCAGCATACCTCTGCGCGCGTGCTTCATGCTTCGCAACTTTCTTGGTCCTGCCAGGCTATCAGGTCTTTCAGGGCAGCGCTGGGCGAGTGAGCGAGCGACCGCGAGAGAGAGCCGAGGCGACAGACATGGACACGCGCCCGCATCCACTTCCAATACATGTTGTGGGCGAAAGCTCGAAACACCAGATTGCAGGAGGTCGCGCCTTCCTTTCATAATCGATTGTGGAGAGCCGCTCGAAACGCATTGTCAATCTGCTCGCAGATCCTCAGGATACCCGCTGCGAGCCGCTCCTGCTGCGCTTCCCTGGCGGGTCTTTACAGTGCAGCTGCATGTGAGGTCAACCATGCAGCTGCACAACCCTTTACCGCCTTTGCAACGGCGGGAATACTTGGCAAGTTCAGGAAAAGGGCCACGCTAGCAGACCAGTGGGCTTCCTCCACCGAGCGTCGAAGCCGCATTGGTCAAAACAGCCAATTCTACATAATACATTTCCCACAGGCGAACAATTTTGAGATGCAGCCAGGGTCGAGACAGGCGAATATTCTCAACGACCACGGGGAGCCCTAAGGGCAACACGGTCCCATGACAAATGCACAGGGCGTCGGCCATTCCGTTGCCAAGCTCCACATCTCTCTTGTCATGTCTACTGTTGCCAGATTAGGGCAGCCCAAGAGATTCTCGCCGTCATCGCGGATTCTCGGTCTCGGCAGCAGGTCGCGAACTCTGGGCCACGTCGCACGCGCGATCGCGATCCACCCTCCTAGGCAGCGAACCGCCGATCCTACCTCCAGCCTGCCGCCGCCAGCAGGCGCCGGTAACGCGCCGTGTTGCACTGCGGCACGCGCCTGACCAACCATCTCATTTTGTCCGAGCTCGCAAAGTCGGCCTCTTTGCTGATGAGCGCGCCCCACGCAGAGCCTTCGATGCTTCGGCGCGCGAGCGCTTGGCTGACGCCCCCGCGGCCGGCGCGGAGGTCGAGGACGTTGCGCGGCGGGCAGGCGCCCTGACGACGGACTGGGGCTGTGAGCTCGCCCGATCTTGAATCCAAGCGACTGCTTGGCGGGCGTCCTCCTGCTGGTCGTCCGAGATGCGAGTCCACTCCTGCTACACCCTGGCGCTCGCCTCGTAGCGCCTCATCGCGCCCGCGGCCAGCCATCGGCCGCGGCGCTGAACGTCGGGCAGCGCGCGGCAGGCCGCGAGGCGGTCGTGGGAGGGGCCGCCGTGCCGAAGCTGGCGCATCGCAGCCTTCCAGAGCGCCAGGGAGGGCCGTGCTCTTGACATCGAGCAGCTTCTTCTCGGGGTCGCCCGTCTTGAGCTCCGCCGCCGCGGCGACCAAGCCCGGGGGGTACTTCGCGCCCAGCAGGGTGCTCCCGTCGCTGAGGCCGCTTTTCGACTTGTCCCCTTGGGGCGGCCGGGTGGAAGTTCAGCGCCTACTACGGACTGCTCGCGCGAGGCGGCGCGAGGCCCTACTCCCGCAGGCACGCGGTCGAAGGTCACGGAGGCGGCTAGGCAGGCCACGTCCGACATCATCTTCTCGGCCAGCCGCCTGGCGATCCGAACCGCGGTCTCCCACAGGGGCGGGCGCCGCCGTGGGGCCCGGGCCGAGGTTGGTGCATCCATTCAGCGCTCTCTGGAATCCCGGGGGGGCGCAGCCTCCCCCGTGGTGACAAAGCCGCAAGGTGCCAAGCCACCGCGGCGCACGCCTTGAACAGGTCGGCCTTCTCGAAACCCTCTGGGAACACGCAGTCCGCGAAGTCCGTGATGGCAGCGTCGACACTCCTCGCAGAGTCCAGCGTGCATCCGATCGAGACCGCACAAGCCAGGGGCTCCTTGAACCGAGCACTGTAGAGGGCCTCCGTCGTGTTCGCAATGGCACGCGACTCCAGCCTGGAAGCGCGGCCTGCTGCAAATCGAGGCTCGAAGGTTTCGGGCCTCTTGGTCCTCCTCTCGCCTCGGCTGGCGGCCGCCACCAGATGCCGGGCGCCCCTCCCGGGCAGGCGCGCTCCCAGCTGCGGCGGCGGCGCTCCAGCAGCCTCGCGATGCAGCCGAGGGGTACCCCCGACGAGGAGCAGACCTTAGCCTCCGCAGCCTGATGACCCCTTCTTGCACAGCTGTGTTCGAGCTCCGACCTTTTTGTTCTTCCGCCGTCCGTCGTTCGTTCTCCTCCCCTGGCGTTCGTCCTCCTCCCCCGGGCCCCCCTGGCGGACGACGGCGTGGCCGCCGTCGTCCGCGCCGAGGCTCTCGCTGAGGGCGGCGGCTTCAGAGGCCCGAGGCGGGGGCGGCGGGCGGGCGGTTTCCCGCGCGCTGGGGGGCTGGCCCTGCCCAGCCTGCGGGTCTCCCGCCCGTCGCCGCGAGAGGCCATCGGCATTGTTCTGCGCAGGAGGTGCCCAGCGAAAATGCCACTTGGTGCAGCCTGCTACGGCTAGAGCCGAGGCGCGTCGGATAACATCGAGGATCGAGAGCGTCGCTTCCCGAGACTTCCCGGAAGCCATGGCGTTGCCCAGCTGGTCACCTATGCTAAGCCGGTGCCTCCTGAACCCCCTGATGCGCCTGAGCCCATGCCTGACTCCCAAGACGTGGCGCTCAAGGGGCCCGCGGACGGGAGTGCGGGGAGGCCTGTTCAACTTTGCGAATGTGCTGTCTGAAATTTCCCCCCTGTTCTGTCCTTTTGGGTTGCCCTTGTGTAGCATGCATGTGCTATTTGCCTTGTGCAGGTACGGGGAGTTGAGGTCTCGTCGGTGCTGCTCTCTGTTCGCTCGCGCGTCTAACTCATCCCTCAAGAAAGCTTCGCTGCCCAAACAGGCCACAAGCTTGCTAAGATCTCGGGTAAGAGGTTCCACGTGTACTACTGGTTCGTGCGCGCGCGAGGCGGCCGCTGGGGATCCCTGGACCAAAAATACCATGCCAAGGTCCCCGGAAACTCGGATCCGAAATGATTTTTCTCCTGGGCGCGGCCCTCAGGACCCCCAAGACATCCCCAGGATCGCACCAAGAGCCAAGGAGGCACCAAGAGAGCCCAAGAGTGGCCCAGGAACGGGGATCCATGGGAGGCAGGCCCCAGAATTGGCCCTGGGTCGCCCTAGATGGTCCCAGACAGCCCCCCAAAGGCCCCCAGAAAGCTCAAATCATCCAAACACAAACCAGCTTTTCAATAATTTCTGATTTCTCGCCTCTCGCTTCTCATGGGCCTCTCAGGTCGCAGGATTGCTTCGCAATCGCCCAAGACGGCTCTAAACGAGGCTGCGAAGACTCCCAATAATGCCCCAGGGAAAACCCAAGATAACTCCAATAGAGCCCAAGATCGGCCCAGGAGCGGAGATCAATGATGTGAAGCTCCAGGGCTGCCCCCAAACAGCATCAAGCGGGCCTGAGATAGTCCCGAGGTGGCCCTAAAGATCTCAGACAACCACCAAGATGCCTACTGGAAGCCCAAATCCATCATATGCATGACAATCTAGCCTCTAGGGCGCAGATTTGATTCATACCAACTGCGCCTAGGGTGTCTGGGGAACGGAGCCCGCAACTCCAAGATGCAGTGGTTATGGATACACATGGCGAGTTCAAAGAACCCTGAATCAAAAAAAATCGTTCCATATCTTGAGACACCGACTTTCACTTCCGCCGCCTTCTGTCGAGCGTCCGCGAGCTTCCTCCGAGGAAGAGATATATCAACTGATTCGACCCTCGAAGGCGAGGCCCTGTCTTGGATGCCCCGCATCCCACGCCGCGACACACCCGGCGACTCACCGTGCGACCCACCCGCGACCGACCCACGCTGCCTTGACGAAAAACATCGGCGCCTGCGGCGGGCTTCTCTGCAGCGCCCAAAAAAATGACGGCGCCTGCGGCGGGCTTCCTCAGAGCTTCGCAGGCTGCCGACGACCCCGCCGCCCCCGCTCTCCGATCCGCCGTTCTGGGTGCATCTTGCCTTGAATAAGGCTGGGGGGTCAGGTCTGCAGAACAACCCAAACGGCCGTCAAGGGCGCAACCAACTTGTTCGGTCAAGCTGAACTGCTGCACCACGCCCAGCGTCGAGCCAACACTTTGGACAGGGGCGAACGGTTGGGCTTTGCACATCTTCGTCGGCTTGACCAGGGAGGCCTTTGGCCACCTTGACGTCCTTTCCTTGGGGGTCCTGCAGAGGCAGCTCAAATCTTGCCCGCACCCCGTGGGCAGCCGCCGGCGGCCGAGCCGAAGCAGCGGCCCGGCCCGCGCGGCCTGCGGCAGATCGCCCAGCGCCCGCGCGGCGGCGGCGGCCTGCGCGCCTCGCGCCGCCAGGCGCGCCCGGCAGCACCTCGGAGGGCGCCGTCGGCGGGGGGTCCGTCCTCAAAACCTCGATCCTTGATCCTCCTCCGAGGGGCAACGACAGGGAGTGACCGGCTTAGGGGGAACCCTCGAGCTTGAATCGGCGATACGTCGCCGATAGATCGGCCACTGGATCGCGATAGCGAATCCGCGCGTTCCTGGGCGGGGCGGGCTATCGGGCCCCTATTGGCGATCGATGGGCGATTGGGTGTCGATGCGCCCCCCCCCTCTGAGCCCATCCCCGCCTCAAATTGCCCCTGTGGGGATCGATCCTCAGACCTCGGTCCTCGATCCTTCTCCTCCACGTTGAAGCCAACGGCGGTCCTCCCTGCCATTTCTAAGCCACTTGTTCCTCCTCGAGGCTTCTCGCCGCCGCGGCTAGCTCCGCCACGGAAAACTGGCAGGGATGGACCCTGGGAGTGGCGCCCAGGGGCCGATTTTGAACAGATGCAGGCCCGTCGGTCAGACTTTGAACGAATTTGCTCCTCCTCCTCCTCCTCGCCCTCCTCGTCCTCCTTATCCTCCTCCTCCTCCTCCTCCTCCTCTCCTCCTCCTCCTCCTCCCTCCTCCCATCTCCTCCTCCATCTCCTCCTCCCCCTCTCCTCCTTCTCCTCCTCCCCCTCCTCCTCCTCTCCTCCTCCTCCTCCTCTCCCCTCCTCCTCCTTCTCCTCCCCTCCTCCTCTTCCTCCCTCCTCCTCCTCCTCCTCCTCCTCCTCCTCCTCCTCCTCCTCCTCCTCCTCCTCCTCCTCCTCCTCCTCCTCCTCCTCCTCCTCCCTTTCATCCTCCTCCTCCTTCCTCTCCTCTCCCACCTTCGTTCGTACAGCGCAGGGTCTACTTTGCTCCCGTGCGGGAGCTGGGTAGGCCTTGGCGGCCAGGCCCTCTGCGGTCTGGCGTGGGGCCTCTGGCTCCATGGGGGGGGGCTCTATCTTGCCCTGCGCGGGGATTGGTCGCACCCCCTTTCGCCCCCGTAGTGGCGAGCGTTTCCCTCGGGATTCGATGAAGCCAGTCTCAGTCTCAGTCCCCTCCTCCTCCTCCTCCTCCTCCTCCTCCTCCTCCTCCTCCTTCCATCATCGCAGTCGTCGTTGGCATGAGAGAGGAGCGGCTCCTGAGGAAAGGGGTCCTGCTTCTTCGGGCGGGGGCGTCGATGCCGAACTTGGCCCTTGACATTCGACCCTGGAGGGTGGAGGGGGGAAGTGTTCTGACTTGTTTGGCCAGCGTCGCACCACACGAGGCCTCTGGGGACCACTAATGGCGAGGATCTGGGGCGCGAGCCAATCTTACTAGAGAGGTTGTTGTCGTCGTCGTCGCCGTCGCCGTCGCCGTCGCGGTCGCGGTCGCCCGTCGCTCGTGGTCGTCGTCGTCGTCGTCGTCGTCGTCGTCGTCGTCGTCGTCTGCCTCGTCTTCCTCCTCCTCCTCATCATCATCAATCATGCCCCTTCGATTGGGACGCGATGGACGGGGGAGGGGGAGGGGGAGGAGGACAGTAATAATAGAGGAGTAGGAGCAGGAGGGAGGAGGGGGGAGAATGCATGATGGAGGGCACGGGAGGGAGAATGGAGGACGTACGGGTTGAGGAGGAGGGAGATGGAGACAGGCGGAGAGGAAGGGAGAAGGGAGGCATGGAACATCATTGCAGGAAGGGGGGGCAGGCCAGTGTTAACGAGGTGATCGGAAGGGAGAAAACAACATTTGGGGGAGGAGGAAGGAGACGGAGGGAGAAGTGAGAAGAAGCGTGGGGGATGATGGAAGGAGGAGGGGGGGAGATGAAGGGGGGCACTGGACGGACAGAATCATGGCGAAGCCCACTTTGGACAGGGCCGTGGGAGGGCCACCCGGGGCCCATCCGGAGGGGCCACGGCCCACTGCGAGAGCTTCGAAAAATGACTGACTGCCCTCACGCAAACTACACGCACGTCGGCAACATGGTGCCCCTCACTCCGTCACCGGTCTCTGGAGACAAGGGCTGACGTGGATGTGATGGGAAGGAGGGATGGGACGGGCCACCGAAGATACCTCGAGCTGTCACGATCGGGTCCCCAATATGGAACCGATCCATGGCCGCTCGGGAGATTCGTCGGGCGGATCGCGCAAAGCCATGGGGGACGGCGGGGCCTGCGCTCGGCAGGCGCGAGGTGGAAACGCTCGGTGGAACTGAACTGAGGGCAGCGCTCAAAGCTTGCCAGGACGACGCATATCAAGATGCGGTAACCAACCTGGGCGCGGGGGGGACTCCTATCGCCAATCGTTCCTCACCCCACCATGTACATTCCAACGTTGAGGTCGAAGGTACGAACTCACGGAATTGGGCTGCCGTTCCACAAAGCTCAAGTCCAGAGCCCATGAAATACAAGGGCGTGCATGCTGACATCTGCGCCAGGTCGGGGAGCCCCCACTCACCGAGGAAGGCACCAAGAACTGCCCCTATATTGGTCAAGCGCTGGAGCGATGTACAAGCGCATCACTTAACCCGTCGACTCCTTTTGGGTCTCCAAGCGTGTGAGATGGTCCCCCCCTCTCAATCCGCCCCAATGACAGCAGTCTGGCAGTTTCACCCCCCCCCTCTCTGGCCCCAGACGAGTCATTGACAGCGGGGCCTCATAGCCCCCAAAAACACCTTCCCGCGTCGGCCGCCCAAGACCATGTGACAGTGGGGCCCCAGTGTCGGTGGGCAGATTCCAGAATCGATTTTTGCCGTTGACGATTTATCCCCCAGACCAGCAAGATGCCAATGTTGCGGACTGCGTGCCAGCTTCCTCGAAAGGCGTATGCTTGAGGTGATCCAACTGCGCTGGGGAAAGCACTGAGCGGGTTCTTGTTCCGAAGCACTGGGCAACATACTTGTGCAACATTTCCCCCGCAATGCCAGCACGCAAGAGACACCGCGATACTGCATCGGCTACGCGAATTTTGCCGTCGACGATGGGGCCCCACTAGCGGATGTTTGCCGCTGACGGGGACGGAGCCAAGACGAGGACAACATTGGGTGAAGATGAATCGGGAATCTCTGAGATCCAGCGGATCTGAACAACATATCGGACGCCGCGGCCTTCTCAGAGCGTTCTGGAACGAACACTCTGAGAGTGTTCTGGAACGCTCTGGAACGGATTGATCCTCGTCCTAACCCCGTCCGATGTTTGCCTCTTCGTCGTCGTCTCCTCCCTCCTGTCGTCCCGTTTCCCCTTCCCTCTGCCGAGTTCGAACTTTGGCGCGACTCTTCCAAGCAGCCGCACGCCGCCAGGACGCAGTGGCCCGGCCCCATCCTTTCCAGCACCGTTCATCCGAGCGGGACTCCGCTCTCGCTGCTTAGCTTCTGGCGTTTCTGCATTGTCATCCGCTGCGCCTGCTCCGGCCACGGACTCTGATGCAGTGATTGCCATTTCCGCGAAAAGCGTCAAAAGGAATACATCCCTCTGCATGGGGCTCCCAAGACGGCCCAGAAAAACGCCAAGGCGGCCCTAACATTGGCCCAAGGAGGGGGATAGAAATTTACATTTCAAGCCTTTCCCCCCAAGATTGCTCCATGAGCTCCCGAAAGGCTCCCGAGGCGCCCCCAAGAGGCCCTAAGAGGCCTCAAAGAGGCTACCACGAAGCACCCAAGGGGCCTCAAGAAGCCTCGAAAGCCATCAAGATGCCCCCAGAAGCCCTCCAAGAGGCCCAACCTGGGGGGTCGGCGGAATGGCATAGGCCACTTTAAGCATCATTGCGTCCCCTCTGGGTTTCCGGGTGCATGAACTCAACATATGCGTACCTATTGCAAACATATTTTACCCAGAACGCACCTCGCTGATTTCCCGTGCAGGATGGTACCGATGCAAATGCCGCTGTTGTGACAGCACAGAGGCGATCCAATATACGAAGACATGTGCGCGAGCCAATGGGAACTTCGTATAATAGAGCTGCCGCGCATCGGAACGACGAGGCCGACAATATTGCGCCGTCAACGGGTGTGTGGCCGAAGAAGGCTTCAACGGTCTGGGCTCCCGTTGCCTTATTTTGCTGTCTCGCGCCCAGCAGCCCAACGCAAACTCACTGGAGACCTACCTGTGATCCACCCGCGACCCACCCGCCACCCGCCGGTGACACACCCGCGACCCACCCGCGACCCACCCGCGATCCACCCGCAACCCACACTCGCGACCCACCCGTGATGCATCCGCATTGCTTGGAAAACAACCAAATTTGCAAGTATGGACTCCAGATCGTGAGCTCTTATACGGTGGATGTGGGATATAAATATATGTATGTATGTATGTATGTATGTATGTACGTTTGTTTGTATGTGTGTATGTGTGTATGTGTGTATGTGTGTATGTGTGTATGTGTGTATGTGTGTATGTGTGTATGTGTGTATGTGTACATGTATGCATGTATGCATGTATGCATGTATGCATGTATGCATGTATGCATGCATGCATGCATGCATGCATGCATGCATGCATGCATGTTTGTATGTATGTATGTATGTATGTATGTATGTATGTATGTATGTATGTATGTATGTGTGTATGTGTGTATGTGTGTATGTATGTATGTATGTATGTATGTATGTATGTATGTATGTATGTATGTATGTATACATGTATGTATGTGTTTGTGGTTGCTTGTGAAGTTGTATGTACGTGTGTATGCACGTGTGCACGTCAGTACATACACACGTACGTATGTATGTGTGTAAGCATGTATGTATGAATAGGTGTACGTATGTATGTTCCAGAGCTTGCCTCTGTTCCCCAATCAGAGCTTGCCTCTGCAGGGGTCCTAGCGGATTCATACAGTTAAGTGCGGTGTGTCACCGATTTCCGCGGCCCGCCTGGGTGCCAGGGTGCCCGGGTGCCTGGGTGCCGTATGGCCCTATAACAATACAGCCTTAGAGCCCTGTAGCCCTATAGCCCCATAGCCCAATAGCCCTATAGCCCAATAGCCCAATAGCCCTGTAGCCTTATAGCCTTATAGCCCTATAGCCCTGTAATCCTATCGCCCGAGAGCCCTATAGCTCTATAGCCCTAAAGCCCTAAAGCCCTAAAGCCCTATGGCTTTATAGCCCTATAGCCCTATAGCCCTATTGCCCAATAGCCCTACAGCCTCATAGCCCTGTAGCCCTATAGCCACAAAGCCCTATCGCCCAGAGCCCTATAGCCGCAAAGCCCTATCGCCCTATAGCTCTATAGCCCTAGAGTCCTATAGCCCTATAGCCCGATAGCCCTACAGCCCCATAGCCTTATAGCCCTATAGCTCTATAGCCCCATAGCCTTATAGCCCTATAGCCCTGTAGCCCAATAGCCCTATAGCTCTATATCCCTATAGCCCTACAGCCCAATAGCCCTATAGACCTATAGCCCTATAGCCCCGTAGCCCTATAGCCCAACCCCATAGCCCTATAGTCCTAAAAAGAATCCCACCAACCCTCTGGGCGTAGGTGTCGTAGGCGGCTCCTCTTCCAATCCCCTTTCTTCCGCTTTGGGGAGGGGTTGACCCCTCCCCCTACCCCTTGGACGTAAAGGCCCGCATCCCTTCCCACCACCGTGCATTCCGGTACGACCTCAGACACTGAAGAATTAAGTCGCCCGGGCGGGCAACGAACCAAGAATCTTTGAATGCGGCCTTGAATACAGATTTGATGGCTCTTTGGGGCATGCATGAGATGCCCAACATCCTCATGTAGGAATCCTCTGGTGGCCCCCTCGGGATTCCTGGGCCGTGTTGGAGCTCTCTTGTGCTGGTTGAAGCTCTCTTCAGGCCGTCTGGGGGTCCTCTTGGGGGCCTCTTGGGCCGTCCGGGGCTCATTTTGAGAGCCTCTGGGGCCGTCGCGGCCGCCGGTAGGACTAGAAAGCAAATATCAAAGAAATATACGTTTTCCCTTAGGACATGCTTGATTTTTGCCCTTGGAGGGCCTTCTCGGCGGCCTCTTGGACCGTCTTGAATACCTTTGTGGCCGTCTAGGATCAGTCTTGGGCTGTCTTCGAGCGCTCGCGGCCCGTCTGGAAGCCATCTCAGTGCGCTATTCAGCCACCTTCCACACAACCTGGGGCGCTTTGGGCGCCTCTTGGGCCAGCTTGGGAGCCTCTGGGGGGGTCCGGAGCCCCTTTCTGAACCCTCTTGGAGCCCTCAAGGCCCCCCCGGCCCCCCATGCGAACCAGAGGCAGCGGCTCTGGGTCCTCCTCCGGCCTACTCCGATATACATATATACATACATACATACATGCATGCATGCATACATACATACATACATGCATACATACATATGTATGTCTGTCTGTCTGTCTGTCTGTTTGTCTGTCTGTCTGTCTGTCTGTCTGTCTGTCTGTCTGTCTGTCTGCATGCATGCATGCATGCATGCATGTATGTATGTATGCATGCATGCATGTATGTATGTATGTATGTATGCATGCATGCATGCATGCATGCATGCATGCATGTATGTATGTATAACTGTATGTATGTATGTATGCATGCATGCATGTATGTATGTATGTATGTATGTATGTATGTAAATATGTATGTATGCATGTATGTATGTTTGTATGTATGTATGTATGTATGTATGTAAATATGCATGCATGCATGCATGCATGCATGCATGTATGTATGTATGTATGTGTGTATAAGTACGTAAGTCAGTAAGTAAGTAAGTAATTATGTATGTATGTATGTATGTATGTATGCATGTATATATGTATGTATGTGTGTATGTATGTGTGTATGTATGTGCGTATGTATGTGTGTATGCATGTATGCATGAACTCATGCATGCATGTATGTAGGTAGGTAGGTATGTATGTACGCATGCATGTATGCATGTATGTATGTGTATATATACAATATATATATATATATTATATGTATGTATGTATGCATGTATGTATGTATGTATGTATGTATGTATGTATGTGCGTATGTATATATGTATGTATGTATGTATGTATGTATGTATGTATGTATGTATGTATGTATGTATGTATGTATGAATATACATATATATATATATATATATGTATATATACACATATATATATATATATATGCATATATATACATACATATATATATATTCCTCTTCCTATATTTTTGCAAGCCCGCCCCCCCCCAAAAAAAAAAACGGACTCCCGGGATCTGGGGCTTTGGGACCCTTCGGACGGGCCTCGAAGCGGCCCCCCGGACCTCGCAGGGCGTTTTACCAAGCCTTCGCAGCACACCTAGGGCGATCAGGGGGGTCATCGGAGACGTCCCAAAGAACCCCAATACAGCACAAGAGCGCTCCAAGAAGCCGTCATACCCCGAAAGATCGCTCCAAAACGCACCAAGAGGCCTCCAAGAGCACCCCCAAGAAGGCCCCAAGAGGGAATAATCATCGATTCAATGTAGGTTTTTGGTGAATTTCGGGTTCTCCTCTTTTCGGCTTCCCGACGCTCCAAGATAGCGGTCATCTGGACGTCCGAAGTCGCCTGGGAGGCTCCAAAATCGCCCCGCAACCATCCGAAAGGGCTTCCAGGCAGTCCAAGAGAGCCCCAGAACGGCACAACAGGGGTCCAAAATGGCCCTAAGAGAGCCCCATGGCGGCCCAAGATGGCCCCAAGACACCCTCCGAAGCATTCCAAATCGTGACCGGGGCGTTCAGGGAGACTGCGGTTAGAGGCAGGTTGGCCTTAGGAAGCCCCAGAGGCCCCGAGAACACGCCCAGGAGGCCTCCAGAAGGCTTTAAAGCCTGAGAACTTTGGTGAGGCCCCCCGAGGCTCTCCAAGGAGGAGCCTCCGCAAAAAGAGCTGAGGATGGGGAGAATACCCAGGGTATGGCAAGAATGAGGGAACAAAAAGCATGGAGGAGGGATAACGAACAACATTATTATAACGGCGATGCCAGAAAAGGCAGCAAGGAGTTATCGCAAAATTGTCCGATTGACCTTCCTGCTATTTCCGCTTGCATACCAATCTTCAAGGACCAAGGTGCATGGCGCGAAGCGCCACTGCAGTCTTGTATATATATATATATATAGAATTTGGGCGCGACCTATGTGGTGTGACGTATGTGGTGCAAGCCATGTGCTGCAATCTGCATTCTGATGCAAGCTGTGGGTTGCATGTTGTCTGGTGCAATCTAGGTGGTGCCCGAATGTGGCTTCGTAATTGCATAAGTACATAATCGTAGTGGGTCGAGGGGGGGGTAACTCAAGGACGGGCTATCGGGCCCCTATCCGCGACCAGTGCGCGATTGGGGGTCGATGACCCCCTCCTGAGCCTATCCCTCCTCCTAAAACTGCCCCTGGTCATCACCCTCCTCGAAGAGATCTCTTCGCGAGCTCGCCCAGTCCCGACCCCCCCCCCGCGGGAGGAAGCGAGGCACCCCAGAGCACCCCCCTGGCACCGCCTCCGAGGAGCCAGACAATCTGGCGACGGACCGAAGACAGGCCACTCCGCACCCTCCTGCCGCCTCTTTCTCATGAAGAGCCCTTGCTGGCCATCGCTCGGACGTCCATTCCCTGTGTATTTGCTTGGTTTCGTGCGTGGATTTGTTTCGCCAAATGATCAAGGATGCTCCTCGATGGTCCTCGCCGCAGGAAAAATGCAACCGTCCGAGCGATGCCAAGCTCTTGAAGAGCCCTTGGCGATGGCCCCAGGGGTGGGGGCTTACGAGAGCCCCGAGGCACCCCGCAGGAAGTGTGCGCCGCCTCTCTGGAATTCGCCTGGAAGGCTCGCCACGGCGTCTCGCTTTCAGAGCGGGCTCCCTGCCAGGACTGCGGAGGAGGGAGGAAGATTTGATGCTGGGGAAGGGGACGACGACGACGAGGAGACAGGCGAGGACGAGGAGGGCGAGGAAGGCGAGGATGAGGCTGAGGGGGGAGGGGGTGAACGAGGCCAGCCCCTCTTCCGAAATTCCCGCTCGGTCTCCCTGGATGCTCCCGCCAGACCTCCGAGAGCTCTTCCTGGAGCCGTCCGGCGGGAACTCCCAGACCCAGGCCGAGGATTCCCCTGCTCTCCTCCTCCTCCTGAGCCCGATCTGTTCGCCCGTTCTCCAGCTCCCACCAGTGCGTGGGAACACTGGTGAAGAAGGCGAAGGAGGAGGACGAGGAAGAAGAGCAGCATGATGGAGTGGGTATGAGAAAGCATGATAAAACAATGGAACAGCACCATGACAGTGTCACATCGAATACTTACTTCGAAGCCCTCGCTGCCTGTTGAGCTCGGGTCAGAGCCTTTGGCCACAACACCAGAGCGATACGGCGAAGATAATCCTGCCGAGTGCTCAGGACATTGCTTGTACGATGGGAATGGGGAGGAGGAACGCGTTGCGCACCAGGGTGTGATATCATCCCGTCTCTGAACGCCAGCGGCTCCATCAAGCTGGGCGTCTTAAGTGCAACGGGTCTGGGTGGGGAGCGCGTGGGGAAGGCAGACCTTTATCCCTGTTCATTCTGATGAACTCCCCTTCGTCTCATCAGCAGGCGTGTCGACAGGGCGGCTACTCGCTTTGCCTGAGATTTACCCAAGACAGCCCTGAAGCTCGAACATCGCAACAGGTACACGGATGAGGACAGGCGGTGTCAACATGTACCTCTCCTTAGTGACGCGAGCATTCGTCTCAAAAGCGTGCAGCAGCTACGCGGTGGTAGGGTGAACTCTTTACAACATGGGGGTCTCGTTGTGTACTTCCTCACATGTGCTGCCACATGCGCTCTTACCCTCTACCTCTTCCTCATCCCCCTGCATCTATCCTTACTTCCCTTCTCCTCCTCCTCCTCCTCCTCCTCCTCCTCCTCCTCCTTCTGCTCTTCCTCTCATTCCTCCCCCTCGCCCTTTGCTTCTGACTCCTACCCCCCCTATCCCCCCGCTCCCCTCCTTCTCCTCCTCACCCTCCTACTCTAATGCCCTCTGAAGCGCAAGGCTATTCTGAGGGTCGGGGCGGCGGGCAAGAGAACGGACTGGAGTAGGCGCCTAAGCTGCCAATGCCGGGGGGGGGGGCCTGCTTCAGGCGCGACAGCACACGGCCGCAAGTGTGCTCCAAGTCCTTGCAGGCGTGCAACCCAAACATCCGAAGATGTACTTTTTAACAATTTAACGGCCGCCCCCAGGCATCCCAAACCCTTTCCCCGGTGCCGTCGTCCTGGGGCGACGTCTGGTGGTCCGGTGGGTCGGTGACGGGCCCCGAAAACCGAAATCGAGGAAAACGCAGTGAAGAAATCATATCGCCAGAGATCTGGGAATGCGGGTGCGAATCCCAATGGGGGAATACCCATCGGTCGGAAGAGGTAGGTCGAAATATGGAATAAGAAGGCATTGAAACTAGGTTGGGCTTTCGCCAGCTCCCTGAAGAGAAGGAAGAAGGGACACCATTGGTTTTCTGAAATCTGAAATCGGAGAGCGCCAAGGGTACATTGGGAGATGGGAATCGATAAAAACCACTTTCAACGACTGATGAGTACCTGCTGCAATGAAACAAATTCGAGACCCAAAACAAGGATGCGTGGCGAGGATGCCATGAGGCCCTCGAAGGCCCACGCGGACACAATTGCACAGCGATGTGCAAAGCTGGTGGTTTGAGGGACCTGTTGTTCAGGAAATGCCGAAGAGGCAAAAATGCAGGGGCGAGGAGCAACGACAAGGCGGGGCCAGCTCAGGCCCAGGGGGGAAACGTCGACCTGGAACCGGCGAGACTTGGCCATAAATCGGCGATAGGCCCCCGACAACGCATTCGCACGGTCCTGGGCGAGGTGGGGCTCTAGGGCCCCTATCGGCGATCAGTGGACGATTGTGGGTCGATCTAAGTGGCCCGATAAGCAACACGCAGCACGGAGCGTGTTGACATGGAGCTCAACGCGTAGACTGGAACCGTAGGTCTGGCGCGATGCGTTCGCCAACACGTAGGCCAACACGTGCCGCGCCAACACGCAGCGTGCCTACACGGACGTTCTGAACAAGGTACGTGTTGCGTTTCAACACGGGCGTATCAATGCAGTTACGGGGTCGACGCGCCCCCCCTGAGCCCACAGGGCAAGGCCTTCATGGCCTAACGGGTCGGCGTGGCGAGGTCGTGCTAAAGCACGGGGTGCGGCGCCGCCCCGACCGCGCGCGGGCCCGGGCCTGGGCAGCGTGCCGTGGACCGTTGCCCCGCGGGGGCCATCCGTGCACCGTCCGGCCTGTGCGCGCGGCCGGCTGCGGCGCGCGGGCGTGGGAGACGCTGGCCGGCGGGCGACCACCGGGGGGCGCGCTGGCCAGCCGCCCCAGGCACAGATCGCAAAGGGCGGGGCGCGCGGAGAAAAAAATGCGGCGGGGCCGGCGCCGTGCGCTGGCAAACGCTAGCCTGTGCAACGCCGCCGCCGCCGCGCGCGCGCCCGCCCTGCGCCGTGCCTGGGCGGGCTGCCCGCGCGGGCGCGGCGGGCGCGCGCGGGGCGGCTCGCGGCTCGGGCGCGAGCGCCTGCGGTGGGCGCCTCATCCGCGCTACGTGACCCCGGCGCAAGCAAACGCGATCATAACCACACAGCGCGGCATTGATGACCTACGCCCCTGCGTAGAAGTGGCAAAATTCAACGCTAAGGGAGTGGGCCTCACTCTAAGCGTTTTGATAGACAGCAATCCAAGTCCAGACACACATAAGACTTGGGAATGGTACTCGCCATGCCTTTTTTGAAGCTCGTCGCGAAAACCCGTCCCGTCGCGAAAACCCGTCGTCACGAACGGCCGTCGCGAAACCCTGCCCGAATCGATTCAAATCCGTGCATGGCTAGCAACGGTCACGACATGAAAAAAGCAGGAAGACAACGAGCACGGAACAGCACTCGAGGCGCTGGCGCAGCCAGGTTACGCTTGTGATTGAACCAACATGGCAGAGACCAGGAGGGTTTGAGCCAAAATGGCAACGTGGAGGAGGGGACGACGAGACGACGAGGACAACGAGGAGACGGAAGATGACGATGAGGAGGGGGATGGGGAGGGGGGAGGAGGAGGAGGAAGGGAGGGTCGGAGAGGAGGATGGGGGAGGACAGAAGGAAGCGGAGGAGATATTGACGACGGCGTGGAGACTGGACTGATGCTGATGAGGGTCATCCTATTCCACGGTCACATCGGTCCCGTGCATTTTCTCTCGCAGCGTTCGCAGCGTGTCTCGGCCATGCTTGTATGTTTCTCGCAGGCGTGCATCGGCCAACGGCACAACTAAAGGGGCGAGCTTTCCTGAGAAGAAGAGAATGATGTAGACATGTGGAGTGGAATGGCGGTCATCAACATCAACAGCATCGGCAGTTCCTCCTCCTCCTCCTCCTCCGCCCCCTCCTCCTTTTCCTCCTCCTCCTCCTCCTCCTCCCCTCCTCCTCCTCCCCCTCCTCCTCCTCCTCCTCCTACCCCTTCTTATCCTCCTCCTCCTGCTCCTCGTCCTCTCGTTCGCGATTTTGGCTCAAGCCACTTGTAAGATAGAATTGTCTAATCTACACCTGTTTTTTCTTGAAGGTTCCGCCACTTGTAGAATGGAAATGTATAATATACAACCGATTTTACTCGAGGAGTCCGCCAGGTGTAGAATAGAGATGTATAACCTACACGCGAGTTTTCTCAAGGAGCTAATCTACACCTGGTGTTTCTCGAGGGGTCCCAGGCCTGTTTACACGACGGGCGTCAAGCTGGCTTCCAACATGCACTGATCAAAGCAACTCGCCTGGGCATCCTGTGCTTTCCTCGCGGCGACGGGTGGTTTTGGACTCGACGCCAGGAGGCGCTTCGCGGCGACGGGCGGTGGCGCAAACGGAGCAGAAGGAGGAGAGCGATAATGGTAGCTAGGCGGAGCGGCCTCCTATAAACACATTGCTGCACACCACAGCTGGCAATGCAAGCCGCCCCGAAACCTGCCGACACCTACTAGCTCTGGCCCGTTGGAGGTTAAGGGAGTGCGCGTGTGCTCGCTTATGCGTGCGTGTGTGCGTGTATGAGCGAGTAGGGATCTGATCTTTATGACCAGACACTTCACGAGAAAAGGTGCTTTGCTGCTTTGAACTCTGCGGGTGCGGCATCGCTTTTTGCGGCCTTGGCCGAAGTCTTAGCCTTGGTCTTGGCCTTGGCCCTGGGGGTGGCCACGACAGCAAGGGGCTCAGCGTCGCCATCGCCCTCGTCAGGCTGAAAGACCTGGCGAGTCAAAGGGACGTTCACCTGGCCCAAACACTTAGAACTTACACTTAAGTAGTGGAAACTCACATCAACAGTCACCTTGTGTAGATGGTTCATTACAGTGTACTCGAAGTCAAACGGCAGAGTGATCACCCCATGGAGAAGCACTGGATCCTGGAGTTCGTCGGGCTTCCGAGGCGCATCTGCCTTGGCCTTGGCCTTCGGGGCGGGCACCTAGCAGGCCCCCAGGAGGAGGAGGAGGAGGATCAGCAGGACGAGATAAGGATGAACAAAAATCAAAAAATCTATCTTGGGGGGGGGTATTTGACAAACCCCATGCGCTCTCTATGAAAACGCAATCTTTCTTAGGGGGTTATTTGACAAGGGCCCCCTCCCCTCCCCTCCCCCCGTGCCGGCGGGGAGGGGAGGGGTGAATGAGGAGGGGGAGGGGGAGGAGGATTGGGAGTTTTCCCTCAGGCTACCTTCTGCGGGTATGGAATAGCCCAAGCAGGGCATAGAACGTCTCCCATGGTCGGGTCGCAGGCGACGCCGTCGCTGCACACGAAGAATTCCATGTCGAACGCACGTGCCACTTTCAAAGAACCTGGCACCTGGATCCTCGTCACATTGCCGAGAAAGTTGAGCCGAATTCCCGCCGAGACGTTCTTGGCGACGTAGAAATGGTCTTTCTTCTCGGGAGTCGGGTTCCAGAGAATATCGCACCAGCCAGCCTCGAGCACGTTCGCCTCCATCTTGGACTTGGGGCCGTCGTCTTGGCCGACCGTCGGCGGGGCGAACACGGGCACGTTGCACTTCCGAAAGATGAAGGCCTGCAGCTCGAAAATGAACGTCTTGATCACCGCCGAAGTCGTTGCCGTCTGCGCCCACAAATCTTCAAGTGAATCAGGTACCGACGTAGCTTCGCCATCAGCGGCTTCAGCTTCACCGTCAGGCGCTGCAGTTGGAGCAGGCGGAGGAGCTGGCGCACCAACGCGCTGCTGTAACTCGATGTGGGTGCGCAGGTCCCCCGACGCGGCCGCCTGTATCAGTTCGGACCACAACTCCACCCAGGATGTAGATGGTGTTGAAATATCAATCTCGACAATATCATTGAACTCCGCTTCGAGCTTCTTCATCGAATCCGTCGCCATGTCGGTCAGAGCTCCTCGGCCCATTGAAGACAGTATTCCAATGCAGTACCGAACGCGCAGAGTCCTAAGCATCATGAACTCGCCCTTGGTGTTGCACGCGCCCCCCGTGACGTCGGCGACGCTGAACAGGTTGCCGCAGTCGTCGGAATCGATGTGCTTCGAGGCCCTCTTGATGAAGCCGACCGTCCTGTCATCGAACACCTTGCACGTCACGCGCAAGAACGACTCCAAAGTAGCATTGAGAGTCAGCTCATCCTTCTCGACCAGGCCGCTCAAGCTCTGCACCATATTCTGCGACACAAAAAGGTAGTACGGTTGCATGGCCATGCCGCAGGTCGTCTTGTTGGTGTAGATGAAGCGCGACACCTTGAGCACGAGCTTCTCGTCATTCACGTACTCGGACATGTCCCTCACCACCTCAGACTTCCGCGGCGACGGGGCGGTCGCTGAGACTTGGGAGTCGTCGCCCTCGTCATCGTGCGGTTGAGACTCGGCCCCCTCGCCACGCACGGCCGCATCCAACCCTGCACGTCGGAGCTCGACGTCGTGCGCCGTGACCATCCTCTTGACGATTTTCCTCCTCAGCTCGCTCCACTTGCTGTAGGTCACGCCGTCCACCGTCACCTCGGACGCGAAGCAGAACTCCAAACCGATGGCTATGTTAGCCCTGATCTCGGGCATCTTCGCATCCTTCATGATCTCGGATACAGGGGTCACGATGGCCTGCACAAGATCGTCGAGCCACACCTTCTCGCGGAGTTTGCCAGACTCCTCGACCGTCGTTTGGGTGTCTTCCGCAGGGATGCATATGCCACCTTTACCCTTTTGCTTTTTGGCGGCCTTCTCTTTCAGGACCATCGCTGCGAGCCTCTTCTTGCTGCTGTCCTTGTACAACACCGAAAATCCCATTGGGGCGATCATATGCTTGACGGTCGCGCTGTCCTTCTCTGCGTCCCTCAGGATCCACTTGGGGGGCCATGGAAAGCCCTCGTCCTCGAGAGGAATAGCGAACTTCAAGGCCTCCAGCGCGATGATGTTGAGCAGCCCCCCGTCGATCACGTCCTTGATCTTATTGGCGGCGACCAAGATATCATTGTTCAGCGATGCCACCGCCTGTGAGACAGCGCACGGCAATGGCGCCCAGTAGATTTGGCCGATGCCAGGAGGCCCCTAGCACCAGCCCCACCTACGATGGGGGCCATTGCGTTGCCCAACCAGCCTCGTTGCTGAGGTCCTTTCTCAGGAATTCACACGAGCTCTCACACATCTCCTTGTAGCCCGACCAGGCGGACAAACTTACCATCTTATGATAAGAAGCAACAAACTTCTTGAAGTGATCGTGGAACTTGAAATAATCAGAGAAATTGCTGATGACGTGGTTCTCGTAAAGTTTATCGTAGCGGTGAGGGCCCTGCTTCGGGCAACTGTCCACGGTGATTGAGTTCGCTTTCGCGCGTTGTTTCCAAGACTTCTCGGCCAAGGGCGATTGCTCGTACAGTTGAATCAACGTGACGGCGCTGCCGTGATGGTATTGGTTGTGCACGAGTTTGATCCACAACTGGATCGCCGTTGGCGTGTGCTCCTTCAACACGAAGATGTTGGAGAGACCGTTCTCCATGATCTTCACGACGTTCTCGTTGAGAGCGTCAGTCTGGGCAGCCAAGAAGGCCGCCTTAAGTGGGCGGGATGCCCGCTCCAGGTTTGCTGCCATCTTTCACAGCCGTGGCCCCGTGCCCAGGGAGAAAAGCTGAGGGCGCCAGGATTGGCCAGCGCTGGCCTGGATCAGGGGGGGTACAAATATCACCCTCGGGCCCACAGGGCCCATTGTTCGCCCCCGGGTACAAATATCACCCACGGGCGAACAATGGCAGCAAAACTGGGGGAAGGGCTACGACGAGGGAGGAGATTTGTGAGTGGGGAGAAGCGCCTCGCAGTAGGTCGCACCCGCAATCATGTGGTAGACCCCCTGCGAGGCCGTCAACGGCGTCTCCACGGCAAGGAGGCAACCCCTGAATTCGGAGAGGCCTCCATCGGCCAGGATACCGTTTGCGTATCTCCTCACCACCGTTAGTTGTCGGCGTTTGTTGTTCGGTGACCTCTGAAGCAGGAGCTCGAGGGGCCCGCCGTCGCCGCCACGACGCAAGGCAGGCTTAGACACCTGGTTTGGAGTGAGGCACCAATCTTTCATGATCGCGCGGAACTTCTTGCTCTTGCCGCCCTTGATGCTAGGATAAAGTGCGTCCACCTCTGCTTCAATGGTAGCTCGATCCATCTTCTCCAGGTCGCTGTTAGGGGCTGTCGCCCCCGTCTGATCAACTCCGACAGTCATTCTAACGTTGTAATTTCTCCGACTCGCAAGGTAAGTGCACTCGGAATGGCGGTGCGCACCCTGCGAAAGTGCATCGCTTGAGCCAAAAAAGGCTACGGTGGAGGAGTGCGGACGGAGTGCGAAAGGGGGAGTCGGGCCGGCGAGGGGCAGCGTCAGAATGGCAGCGTCGGCTGTCGCGGACCTCAAATGCGTCAGCCTGACCAGGGGGATTCGCGACGACCACCCTGAAAATCAGTCCCGAGGGGGTTTCGCGACGGCCGTCGCGAATCCCAGAATGTTTTCACGACGGCCGTCGCGAATCCCAAGGGGTTTTCGCGACGGCCGTCGCGAATCCCAGAAGGTTTTCACGACGGCCGTCGCGAATCCCAAAGGGTTTTCGCGACGGCCGTCGCGAATCCCAAAGGTTTTCGCGACGGTCGTCGCGAATCCCAGGGGTTTCGCGACGGCCGTCGCGAATCCCGCGGGGTTTTCGCGACGGCCGTCGCGAATCCAAGGGCTTTCGCGACGGCCGTCGCGAATCCCAAGGGGTTTTCGCGACGACCGCCCTGGAAATCAGTCCTGGGTGGTTTCGCGACGGCCGTCGCGAATCCCGGGATGTTTTCGCGACGGCCGTCGCGAATCCCACGGGGTTTTCGCGACAGCCGTCGCGAATCCCGTCGCGACGGTAGCTCCTCCTCCCCCTATCCTCCTCCTCCCCCCCTCATCCTCCTCCCTCGCCCGAGCTGCAGGAGCCTAGAGCATGATTCTCTAGTTTTTTGTTCGCCCAGGGCTCTCTCGGAGCCCGTCGGGCGAACAGACAAGGGGGGCCTATCGCGTCGGTGAACCCAGGCGCATCGCATCTATTTGTTTTCTGTCGATGCGGTGCTTCAGCGTTTATGCGATTACCCCATCCACGCACGAGCAATGAAGCCAACACCGAATCTAAACCTAAGGCTACCCATAGAACATCAATTCGCACAACATGCAAACCCCATCTGCTTCGCGTGCATCATCGATTGGACGTGGGAGCCATGCGACATCTGCCTGATCGATTACGAACTTCTCTGCGCCAGGGATCCTCGAATGGCAATCTTTGTGAAAATTCAGCAAACAGAGACAACACCGAATACCTTCATCACTTGGGCTCATCCTGAGCTTGCAGACGCAACACCTACATTCCATGCATGGGTCCTCAGAGAGCCTGTCCAACGCACACTGGTATGTCACCATGAGGCGGCGAGCGTCGACGGGAAGCGGGTCCCTCAACGACCGAGTTTTATGCCTCTGTATGCCCACGCATGGGTGCACGATACTTGATCCTAAGTAAGATCTCCATTGCACCCTCAGCGACTGATTGTCAGCCACGGGCGACTCCGATCCAACGGCGAACAAGGGGCGGAACGAGTTGTCCAGCCGAAGAGGGATACCGAGATAATCTGGACATGGCGGGGCGCACTTCCAGTGCACAAGCTGCACGACGCCACCGTGCTCGACTAGAGACAACTCACCCCCGCGACCGAGCGAATCAGACAATGGAGAGAAAGCGGCCACTGCCTGAAGCGCCGACAGCGCTTTGGTCGCGCTGTCGAACCACTCATTGTAGATCGGGTCGCTGATGCAGGGGCCGTGGTCAACCCCGAAGAGCTCGAAATACACGCGCGCATCTGTATCGTCAGCCACGCCTCCTGGCGGCGGGCGCGGGCGGGGCAGCTTGTTCTCCCTCCTCCTGCCCACTGCCCCTCAATCATCCTCCTCCTCAATGCTCCTGCTGTTTTCTTCCACATTCAATTCAACCAAAAACCTAAACCCTCATCCTCCTCTTGGTGGAAAGGGCGGGTTGGCCCCCTGAGTCCGACTTCATGTTCAAGAACAACTTCGAACGTAGATGCCGCCTTCCCAGATTCAGCGAGCACCTTCTTGCTCGCCTTGAGATCGGCTGCCTCCATAAGTGTTTGGTCCGACAACTCCTCATTGTCGAAGTGGTCAACGTCGTCGCATACATACTCGCCGCCAGTCTCCATGAGTATCTCCAGCGCCGTGGACAAGCCGTCGTCAACAGTTGCGTCAACAGAATCGCCGACGTCCATGTCATCGAGTGCTTCTACGTCGGCGTGACGTTTCTTTTTCTTTGGGTTCCTTGGACGGGGTTTGACGGGCATCTCGTTGTTCATGATAGCCAGATGTTCGAACTTGCCAATCACCTTGGCCTTGCCTATGTCCAGGAGGGCCACGTCCACCTGCACGCTGTGGCCGCCACCCGTGCACATATCGTAGTATCGCCTGAATACGCCGTCAATAGGCATCGCCGCGTCGAGATCACTCAGGCTCGATGGCAACGAAACAACGCCATCGCAAGTAACCGAACACTTGATAAAATATCCAGAGTAGCCAAATGTGTTGCAGCATACCCATAAATGTGCATCGTCCATCTCACTGCAAAGCCGCAGCGCGATCTTAGTCGATGCAGCCCTGCCTCCGTGATTCCGCACGTACCTCCACCACAACAGGCCATGTCCCCACGACCAGCAGCGCTCCGCTTCGTCGCAATGCTTCAGCCCCTTGATGGCTTCCACAGGTGGCGGCTGAACTCCAGCAGCTGGTTGAGGAACGCTGAAGTCAGTGAACATTCGTCTGGACTCGGGCAGCATCTCCATTGCTTCGTCTATGAGGCGATGAACGTCTGCTTGAATGTCTGACCAGGTCACCCTGTTGTCCGCCCGCGACCCCATTCTTAGTTCTCGACGGTTGCCAACTCTGGCGTCCAGAAGGGGCAGGCCTATGTTAGGCGCTCGTTCTATCGCATGCTTGATGATTTTGTTTAAGCTTTCCATCTCGCCGTTCGAGCCTGTCAACTGCATCGCGACCATGCGCATTGGGATCCACAGAGACATACCGATTGCTCCAGTTTCTGAGCCTCGCTGCACTTCGCCATAGAATAACGTTTTGATCTTGATGGCCTGGACGTGCAGCTCGGCGTCGGCAGTCCCCAATATTTTTGAGCACACTGACTGCCCCTTCGGGCATCGTTCTGACGATCTTGCATATCCCAACCAAAGTAATGATAACGGGAACTCCTGCGTTGGCCTACGGGCCCTGCGCTGGAAATTCCCAAGAAGTTGGATCACCAACGTGTTGTAAAACTCCGTGTACTCAGATACTTCTTCTATCGGCAGGTCATCGACCATATCAATCCAGTGTGGGTGCTTGAACAACGCCAACATCTCTTCTGCGATCTTGTCTGCCCCATTGCAAACGAAACGGGTCATATTCGAAGGCCCACTCGGATCTTTCATATCATACCGAGTGAGGAAGCTGTGGTAATAATGGTTCAGGGGTTCCCTGGTCAAGGACGCAATGTCCATCACGCGAAAGAAATTGGCATCTGCAACCGCGTTCACCACTGCATGCGACCACTTTGTCATTTTTTCTGTAAACGCAGCCAACTCGTCCTTCCGCAGTTCGTCTACACCTTTCGTAGTAACTCTTGATGCCTTCCCTCGCGTGCGTGGCGCCAGCACCGTTCCCAGTACAGCAACTAGGTCCCGAGCGTCCACGGACCTGACAAAGCGTTCGCATTCGCTGATCTTCCCCCATCTTCCAGATATGCATTTTGGGGGAACCCGCCCAGTAGTTTCACTCGCCGATGGCCTGCCGTTGTCTCGGCTGTGCGAAGTCCAGACGTCTGCAATTTTCTTTCCAAACGCCCGCCAGACGTTCATAAGTTTGGCCAGCGTCGAGAAGTACTTGAAACCACATTTTTGGTTCATGAAGGTGTCGAGAAAAAACAGACCATCAACCACTTGGAGTTGGAAGTTATGGCACTGGCAATGGGCGTCGAACCACCAAACGTTGGGATTTCTCAAAGAAGGTGCCATTAGCAATGCTCTGGACGTAGTCTCGTCGCCACCGCCGTCTGAACACGCAGGGAACAACTGCAACGTATTGCTCGAATCTGGCGCATCAAGCCTAGTGCCTTCCATGTTAGCAACAACCTTCACCACTGTGTCGCTGGTATCGGTATCCCCGATAGCTGCTTGATATGTCTGTGGTGACCAATCTAGCTCGGCTCCTGGCGACGTTATTTGCTTGGTAGAAATTGCGAAGCAACACTCGGGAGTTGACTCTTTAACAATCTGCAGAGTCCCACTTGTGCGCCTGCGAAGAATAGAATTGAATACGTTTGGCCAAGTACTCTCGTTGTCGAAGCCTTCTAAAATATAGGATGCATCGATTTCGCTTGTCCTGAGTTTCTGCTCGTGCCACACTTTCGCGTTCGTCGCGTCCCCTCGGAGGTGCATGCACGAGAGCCGCCACGAGGAATCATTGCTTTCAAGTGCCAGCGC